CGTCGGAGCCATGAGCGATGTAGACGACGATGACGATACTGTTATCCCACACCCTCGCGGCGACGGTCTTCCTATCCAACCTCCACCCGACGCTGACTCATGTGACGCTCCCCCCGACGAATTCATCATTCCTCCTGCCTCCCCGGGACCCCCGCCTCCGCGACGTGACATCGACAAAGCTCTTGACGCCGTGAGCCTCGGCACAACGACCGACGATTCCGACGCATGTTCTGGCGAGCCGGAAACCATAATCCGATCTCCAAACAATTGTCTACCACATCGATTTCTTCCCGACGAATTTCCAAACGACGGCGGCCACGATACTACAGCGGAAGCGGGTGGAAATGAAACTTCTGAGCATCCAGATATTGATGGGAAAACGGTTCATCCAACACCAGAATTATACGAAGCAGCTAGCCAATTATTTCGCGTTGTTGATTCGATCCCAATCGGCGCAGAAGATTCTAATATTGTGGCATGCGTCGAACGACACCAACGGTCACCGTTCTATGTGCCTATGTTCTCGACGGCTACAAGGGCAGAAAACGACACCAAAATGATATTATGGCTGGAGAGGTTGGTGGTATTATTTACGGGTTTATTCCCAAATTTCAATCAAATGGTCTTGGTCGCAACAGTCCGGGAATCCTTCAATGGTATGTGGGATGGTATGCGTATAATGGGAATCCACACGCAAAGTGGTCTTGCAGAGCGGCTCCACGCACACAACGCAAACAACAGACAATATGAACCTAACACATACTTCACGCAATAATTGCAAGAAGCCTTACTGGATGATATTTCGCCCCATGCGGGCGCTGACCAAAGTTTTGGCACAATAATATTCGCTGTATCTTTCGGTTTGTACAAACCGCCGGATGTGCGAACTTGGTTGTCCTGTACCGTTCGGCACCATATTTGCCCCCACCAACCCGCCGAAAATCCTCAACCACGGCCAGACCCCGGTGGGAAGGGCTGTGCATCCACGCACCAAGGGGGCCGCCTTGGCGTCGCAAGGCTCCCTGATGGCTGGCACCACCTGGACGCCATCGACATCCGCGAAGAGATGAATGACTATGTGCAGACATCCAAGGCGATCCCAAGATGCATTAGGGCCCTTTCTTACGAATTCTCACACAAAGCCTTATTGAGATTGAGCAAACACATCAATGCTGGGATCAGGACGGCACTGGGGCAAGGGAAAGGGATTGCATATGAGCCTTGACCCTCTTCTTACTCCTCCCCCGCATGCTGCTTCATCCCACCGCCCCTGGGGGGGCCGAGCAGGCGACCGGGACCTACGACAACGCGTTGCTTTATTTGACGATGGACACTGGGACCGGCTACTCAGAAAGGCCAGCACTCACACGGTGCCCCAACGGCCGCCACGCCGACCGCAACAGCCCGCAAGAACTTGCGCGATAACGGATTCAGACAAGATCAATGAAGCTTTTGGGCTCGTCTGAAAAGGCGAGCTCAGTCACGCAGCTCGGGTGTTGACCTCGAAAGGGCTGGCCCCGGGGAACAATACTACTTATAACGAGCTTGTGGACCCCACACTGCGACCATCAATAATATCCGAGGAGCTCCCAACTGCGTTGGGGCTTCTGGGGCACGCGACGCAGCAGAACTTGACCAAGACCTCTTCGCTACGGTGCTACGACAAACAAAAAGAGGAATTGGAGGTGGTCTCTGGGGTAGCAGGTACGAGCACTACAAAATATGCTTTGGGGACGAAGTTGCATTCGAGGCACTACTTGATGCAGCCAACAAGGTCGCCAAGGCAAAACTCTCTCTTGTTATTAAGGATGTTATGATCATATCGTCGCTCACAACGGTTTTGAAACCCAACTCCCGTGTCCGGGGCATCTCTTGCGGCGATACGTTCCGACGGCTCGTAGCCAAGACGCTCGCCAAGCAGTCCAGACGGAGCTGAGGACAACAAGCTGGCCAAACAGTTTCGGAATCCAAAACAGACGTGGTACGGACGCGGGCATACACTTCTTGCAATGTTGTGTAGAAGCTTACTTTAGTCGTGAGGGGGTCAGTGCTCTGGGGCAGGCCGCGGAGGGCCTCCGAGCGGCCCCTTCCACTCTGCAGCCGCTTTGGCTGAATAGGCCCTCTTCGAGGGCATCCGATTTCCTGGGCCCGCGGCCCCCCCTCCGGCGGGCCATTGCGGGCCTTGGCCGCCGGCGCCTCCGGCGCAGGCGCCGTCGGGCCGGTGGGAGAGCCGGGCCCCACGGCCGCCCTGAGGCGGCTGGGCCAGCTGCCGCCCTCGCTCGCTCGACTCCCGAATTCGGGGGCGAGCCGGCCCCGCCGCCGGCCCAGGGGCCCGCGGCCGGGGCAGCCGCTCCGCCGCCGGCGGAGCCCGCGGGCGCCGAGGAGCCGGCGCAACAGGCGGGCAATGCCGTGGGCTGGGCCCCGGCGTGGCGCCCGCACCCATCGGGCCCGAGCGGTGGGCCCCGCGCGCGCCGCTCGTGCACCTGTGGCTACCGCCGGTGCAGCTGCACGAGAGCGGGCCGCCTGTGCGGGCGTGCGCGTGGTGCGGCGGGCGGCTTGGCGAGGCCCCAGCGTACCCGCTCGGCTCGCACGCCCTCGTGGTGCCGGGGTGCGAGCTCTGCTGGACGCTGCAGAACGCGCGCCGCGCGCTCTTCACGCCCGGCGAGCGCCGGGCCGCCCTGCCGCTGGCCGAGCACGTGGAGGCCATCGTGGCGGCGCTGGCTGGCCTGGCGGACGTGCCTCCGCCTCCGCCCCTGGCGTGAGGGATGCCGCCGAAGGGGCGAGCGGGGGCGGCTGCCGGGCGTGGAGCGCGTGGGCGTGGTCGTGGGCGCGGCGGAGCCGGGCCCGCCCGTCGTGGGTTCCCGCCCGAGACTTCCTTCAGGAACGGCGGTTTCGCCTAGGACTTCCTCGAACGTTCACGCTCTTACCTTCCTGCTCCTCCTCCCTCTCACTCCTCCCTCCTCCCTCCTCTCCTCCCTTCTCTCTCCCTCCTCTCTTCCTTCATCCTTATGCCTCTCTGCCCTATCCCCTCCCCCCCCTCTCCCTCCTCCCTTCCCTCCCCTTTTTTTTTTTTTTTTTTTTTTTTTTTTTCTCTCTCTCTCTCTCTCTCTTTCTCTACCTCTCTGAGCTGTCTTTTCTTTTGTTCTCTATCTCTCTCTCTCTCTCTCCCTTTGCCTCTAATCAACCGCCCCCCTCTTCGCTCCTTCTCTCCTGGCGTTTTCCCTCTTCCTTTGTCCCTCCCCCTCCCTTCCTCCCGCTCTCCCTCGTTCTCCCCCTCCTCATTTTGCAAGGCCCACACCAATTCCAATGGCGGGCACATGTACGCCCACGAAGGATTGTCCGTCCGTTCAGGTTTTCCCGCCTGTCTAAGCCCGCCGCCCCCCGCAAAGAGAAATAATCCCCCGAAAGGGGGTGTGATCGGAGACAAAAAGGGCGGGTATCGAGTGGGGAACTCGTTTTGAATGACACACGGGCAAGTAAGAGCGATTAGTCTTGTAATGATTGTTGTTGTTATTGTTGTTGTTGCTGCTGCTGTTGCTGTTGCTGTTGCTGTTGCTGTTGTTGTTGTTGTTGTTGTTGTTGTTGTTGTTGTTGTTGTTGTTGTTGTTGTCAATTTTGAATATTCTTTGACAGTGTTCAATTTGTCTTCCCACATCCGCCGGTAAGGGGGCATGCCCGACCTAATTGGCTCCCCGCGTGCCGCACCACGGTCTCGGGGGCCGTCCATGCGGCCCTCGAGAAAGACGGAACGAGGACGAGGACACATTCGGGTGAAGGTACATCGAGGATCTTTGACCTCTGGCGGTGCGGTTCTGGAGAATGTACAAGGCGCCGCGGCCTTCTCGCAGCGTTCCGGAGCGCTCTGAGGGCGTTCCAGAACGCTCTGGAACCGACTTATCCTCGTCCTCGCCCCGCCCCGCCCGGTCGATGACCGTCCACAACTGTTTATGTGAGAATCAACTTCCGAGACGCGCCCGTAAACGGTCCATCGAGGACGTCGGCTCCACACATACTGTGCACTTCCATGGGCCGCAATGTCTCGATCGTCCTCAGACCTCCACGTGCGGCTTCGCCATTTCTCCGCTCACACCGCACCTGGGGTTGCGTTGCGCCCAACACTGTGCTTCCTCGTGGGCTCATTGTTCCGTGTAGGTTGCAAGTGAACATGCCCCCACACAAACTCTAACAACTATGACTCTGAACCTTCCTGGGCATCTAGACAATTCTTGAGGCGAGCCAGAGCGATCTTTCAGTATGTTCATTACGAAGGAATATATATCTTTATATATATATATATAGATATCTGTGTGCGCGTGGGTGTATGTGTGGAGTCGTCCCCCTCGACACAACCCGAACCACCCAAACCGACGAAACGGACATTGATAATACTGGTGCCTCTTCGTATTTTGTTTTGCGATCTATCTCTATCCCTCTGTCTCTCACTCTCTGTCTCTCGTTTTGTTTTTTCTTTCTTTCTTTCTCTCTCTCTCTCTCTCTTTCTCTCCCTCTCACATTAAGAACTGGCAGATGCGTGCGCCGCTGCGCATGACTGATGGAATGGAGAATTCCCATGGATTGCGAGGTCCTTGACACGATCTTGTCAGCAGAAATCGGTCGGCATTCCACGGTGCGGCTCTTGAACGGATACCTGCGCCCGGTGTCCGCGCACATGCCCCAAGGCTGGGCCACCCAACTTGCCCACGGCTGCTCCGTCCCATTCGTGCCCTCGATGGGGCTGGAGCTGATACTTGTGCTAGACCTGGCATCTCGTGGGCATTCGTTTGCCTGCATCTGTTCATCCTGATCCCTGGCCCCCCGCTCCTGCTCAATCCCACCGTTCCCGCCCTCTCCTCTCACCTCCTCTGGCCCCCCCGCTTCCTTCCCTCCCACCACATCCCCTTCTCGTCCTGCTCCCCCAGAGAAGGGGGTGGAGGGAGAGAACGAGAACCACAGCCAAAGACACGAGAAAACATCTCCTGCCAGAAAGGCCGTCGTGACCGCTAGAAAAACGCTGGGTCTCGCCTCGTAACGCATCGCCAATGCCGGCAACACACTCAAGAACAATCGTAGCACTATCGTGCGTCCGGCAAACATCCTGCAGGAGGCGCGAATTAAGTATATCGCCTGGGACCGATGGAGTGTCACACATTTCTCTCTAGCCAAGGCGGCTGCGACTGGGTCGCCAGATGACCAGGAAACGTCGCAGGATGACGGTGCGAGTTCAGTTGAAAAAGACAGGGCGATTAATCAACTAATCAATGCTTCTGTCTATCGACAGACAAATTCATTGGCTGTTGCCGACCCCCTGACCCAAACGATATGACAAAATTCTGACAACGAACAAGCGAATACGCGATGACCCTACATCTGAGATCATCGAAAACACCATGGGCGGTAATACCGCCGTGTTGAGGCTCCCGTTGAGCTCTTTCACAAAACACATCCCTACCTTCACTGACAATCTACATCCACGCATTTGTGAATCTCAGTCCGCTTTCTGTAGCACCACTGGTTGCTCGATGCCGATGTCGGAAGGCGTGCGCCATGGGAGTATTTCGAGTATCTCCCAAGTAAGCGAGCAATTTAAACGAAGTGTTGGGGGCGTGGGGGGGAGGCGAACGCAGATTGGATATTTGTGTTTGCCGCCGCTGCTTCCTTCAACCCACCACATCCCGCATGAACAACATGACCAAACTCTCGCATCTCATACAACTCTTTTCCCGCATTCGAGTGACTTACAACATATTCTCTAGAATCGCCGAGTCGCGATCAGGTATGTATCACCTGGCGGCGTCGCGACAGTGGGCATGAGCGTACCACTCAGGCTCAGTCTGTCATGGACAAATCTTGAGCAACTCGACCTCAAAATTCAGGTCCGCGTTCGGCGGGATCGCATTGCCAGCACCCCTGGCACCATATCCATAATCTGCTTTGATCTTCAAGCACGCCTTTTCCCCGAGTGACATCTTGATAACACCCTCGTCCCAGCCGCGGATGACCTGACCTACCCCTATTCTGAATGTGAACGGCTTCTTCCCCACCGACGAATCAAACTTCTTACCATTGGCAGCCAAGGTCCCAGTGTAATGCATGGTCAACTTGTCACCCTTCTTTGGATACGTCCTCCCATCGCCTGGCTTGGTAGTGACCACAACGACGCCCTCCTTCTTCCCAAACAGCCGTTGATGCGCAGACACTGAGCCTGCTTCTCCGGAAGCCTTCGATCTATCCGGGCTTCCATTTCCGCGCTTTGGTGAACGAGATCTGGGGCGGCCCATGGCACCCCTGCGGTGGGTACAGGCAAAGTTGCAACTAGTTTGAGGTACCTGCCGCTTCGAGAACCGATCGCTCCTTAAAGCGCATATATCCGTTTGATGGCAACGCTGGCAACATCATCATCAACAACAGTAGCGCGGAGCTCCGACACTTCATGTATATGCCGTTGTCTCTTCTTCGATTTACACAGGCGCGCAGGCGCAAACACTAGCATATGGAAATATCGTGCAAGCGAAGAGCTGCGGAACAAACAAACGAAAGTGCACGGACGAAAGGACGGGCAGATGGAAAGACAGACGGACCCACGGACGGAACGACAAAACGCAGGCATCACACAACGAGTGATCGATCGAGAGAGAGAGAGAGATAGAGTCCCATTCTGCGAGGGAAAGTCACTCTGTCTGCATCTATATTTTCACGATGCCACGGATATAAGTATATATACATAAATACAACTATACATATATACATATATAGAGATGGATCGATAGAGAGAGAGAGAGAGAACAAACAAAGAGAGGCGTATACAGAGAGAGGGAGAGAGAGAGCGAGATAGAGAGAGAGAGAGAGAGATGGAGAGAAAGAGAGACAGAGAGAGAGAGAGAGAGAGAGACTGATGCAGGGATAGCGATGCGGTGGTGTGCTCTTCGCACGCCGCCAAGAGAACACCTTCGCGGCACCAGTAATGAATGATGACGGTCGCATGCTTTTCAATGGTCTGGGCTAGATTCGAGCGCCAGCTTCTTGCCATCACTGTGTACATGCAAAGCGGCGTCATTGACGGGGGGCGCCTGCATAGTTCTCTGTCCAGAAAACTGTGTGGCAAATATTGCCCGATGATGAATTGGTTCCATTCGCCTACAGCGCCCAAGTCAATCTCACGAATTGTCCCTGGAGGCCTGGCCTCTCGCACGGGCCGCGCCGTAGTCTTGGCCCGTGCCAGTCGCGACCTTTCCAGCACGGGGACTCGAAGCATGGTCCTCTCCGTAGCCGCAAACCGTCGGCACTTCTGGCACGCGGAGTGGCGCCTTCTTCGAACGGGGAGGCAGATGGGACATGGCAGAGGCGAGGGAGGGCTGGGGAGGAGAAAGGGAGAGAGGGATTACTGCCGAACTACACTCCCCTGGAAAAGTAATGTAACTTTGATAAGAATCTTGTTTATTTTCGTCGCCTTCAGCCTTTCGTAGTTTTTGGCCTCCGTGGGTTATTTTCGAGCCCTGGGACCGTCAGAAACGGACCCAGGATGAACCCCCCAGTGTACCCCACCGTGTTATGCGCAGTCAGGAAGGGGGAGCTATGCATAGTAGATGTGGAGGATGATGATGCGGATGAGCAGGAGGATGAGCAGAAGGAAGAGGATGAGGACGAGCAGCAACAGCAGCAACAGCAGGAAGAGTAGGATGAACAGCAGTAACAACAGCAGGAGGAACAGCAGGAGGAACAACAGTAGGAACAACAGCAACAGCAGCAGTAGGAGGAACTGGGACGAAATTGCTCAGGGCCGCCATCTGAGAATCACTTTTCGCGGTATCATTCGATTTATGATTGCAGTTTCATGGTGCCCGCATTGGTCGACTATGGGCTCGAGGCCTGAACCTCGACGCCGTTTTGAAGCCCGCGTCGACCTCTGGCTGCCGACGGGCCACAGAAAGCTCGATGGCGTGGTCCAATGGCGCTTTGCTTGTCCAAACGCTCCGACTGGGAACCGGTCACTGAAGCCGTCACGGACACCGCTCCGACCGACTATCCCGAGGCAGAGCTGGCCGTGGTGGCGACGGGAGCTCACAGACTGTCGAGAGGTGGTCGCGTGTCAGAGCACAAGATGGTCGTCAGCGGGAAACATATCCGTATCCGCGACCTCGTGGGCCTGGCCCCTGGGCCGCGACTCAACGGATATGCAGCGTCTTCTCGCGGATGCCCCGCGTGGAACGCATCCCTGCGAGCGCGTCCGTGGGATCGCGCCCCGGAATCCAAACAACGAGGGCGTGGATATGGGTACGTTCCGCTACAGTCGAGGTACTGTCAGGAGGACCGCTAAGTAAGGAACGAAGCCCCTGTTTGGGCCACGGAAGTGCCTGAATGCACGAGGAGAGCTAGAGGAACAGCCAAGGAAGGACATGAGCAACATCGAGCCCCTTCCGAACACAAAGTGCTCCCTATTTTCAGCGTCTTGGCTGTGCTGAGGGGCGGCGGTGGTGGCGTGGCGCCCGTCGCCGTCACCAGGCTGCGCGGCGCGCTACGCCTTCGAGGCCGCCCATGGCGGCCCTGGGCCTGCCTCGGAGCCCGCGCAGCCCCTGGCGTCGGGCGCTCCCAGCCCCCGCATGGAGCGCGGCGGGGCCGGCGGCGAGCCTGCGCGGGGCCGCTCTCGTGGCGCGGGAGGCTTCCGAGGGCGCCTGGGGACGTCGACCCCTCGGAAGCCTCGGGAGATCCTGCAGGGCATCCGGCCCGCGGGGGCGGGCGCCCGTCGACGAAATCTTCGACCGAACGAACCACCGAACGGTTTTGCCTGTGCGTGGCTTTTCGCCGCTATGTGCCAACACCACCTCTTCCTAGACACCGGCTTGTGCCGAACTCCTAACGGGGGGACATTAAACACGTTCTGGTACCATTGCCCTCCGAAATGCTTGCATCTAATGGGTTCTCGAGGAGCCCGGTACTTGGTGGGTGTCGGGGTTGTGCCGTCGGCGCTAGGCCTCCTATGGCCTCCCATGGTTTGGCCTCCCATGGCTTTCCATGAGCGTTTCACGCCAATGGCCCTGGATACCGCGGTTGGGCCGTGGGCGTGTGTTCTCCCACGGCCTCCATTGGCTTCTCGCCCCACTGGCCCCGTGTGCCGCTCGTTATCCGCTTGCTGCTTCGCCTCCGACGATTTGGCCTCCTATGGCCATGGTTTGGCCTTGACCTTAGATGGCTTCCCGCCCCACATGCCCCTGGTTTCCCGGTGCCTGCTTGGCCTCCTACGGCTTGAATTCCTAAGGCGTGGCCTCTTATGAGAGAGCGCGTTTCACGAGCGCATGCCTTGGGAACGATCGGCGGCGCGTTTCAAACCGGGGGGGGGCCCCCACCCAACACTCGGCGCCGTCGATCAGAACCAGGGGGACCCCCCTCCCCCCTAACTCCCCCCCCTCCCCAAACCCTTCCCGGCCCGGGGGGGGGGGGTTCTCCACAGGCGCTGGCGCTGGCGCTGGCGGCGGCCAGCAGCGCCGACGGCAGACGCAGCGACGATGACCGGGGAGGGCCCAAGGGGGGGGGGCGGGGGGGTTCCACCCCACCCCCCCCTTGCGCCGGCGCTGGCGGCGGCCAGCAGCGCCGACGTCGGTAAAGCAGCGACGATGACCAGAGAGGGCCCAGAGGGCGCAGAGGGGAAACACAAATCGCCATATCCACCACCACAACAACCACCACCACCAACCACCACACCACCACCACCACCACCACTGTCACAACCACCACCACCACAGCCCACCACTACCACCACCAAACCCAAAGCAAAAACAAAGTGTCGGGAAGACCCGAAGGTTACACCACCACAATCACAAACCGCCACACCACCACCACCACGACCACCACCACCACCACGACCACAACAGCCCACCGCCACCGCAACCACCACCATCACCACAAAACCACTACACCACCACCACCACAAACCGCCACACCAGAACCATCACCACCGCCAACACCACCACCACAACCACAACAACCCACCGCCACCACAACCACCACCACCACCATTACCACAAAACCAATACACCACCACAACCACCACCAAAAACGCCACCACCACCACACCCTACTACAACCCACCACAACCACCACGACCACCACAAACCAAACCACCCCTTCCACCGCCACCACCACCACCGCCACCACCACCTGAATCAAAGCCTAAACACAGTGTCGGGAAGACCAGAAGGCCACACCACCACCACCACAAACCGCCACACCACCACCACCACCGCCACCGCCACCACCCAAACCACCACCATCACCACAAGCCACTACACCACCACCAAAAAAAACACCACTTCCACACCCTACTACAACCCACCACAACCACCACGACCACCACCACCACAAACCACACCACCACCACCGCCACCACCACCACCACAACCCATCACCACCACCACAAACCACCACACCACAAATACCACCACCACAAACACCACCACCACCACCCACCACTCACCACGACCACCGACACCACCAGCACCACTACCACCAACACCCAAACCCACCACGACCACCAGCACCACCACGACACCACCACCACCACCAACATCACGACCGCCACCAACACTTCCGCCGCCACCACCACCACCACAACCCACCACCAAAACCACCACACAACCACTACCACCACAGCCACCACACCACCACCACCACAACAACCCACCACCACCACCACACTCACAACAACCCAAACAGCTCACAACCACTGCCACCACCACAAACCACAGCACATCCACCACCACCACCGCCACAACCACCACCACCACTGCCAGCAGCACAACCCACCACTACAAACACCACCAGAAACCGCCACACCACCACCACCACAAACCACCACACAACCATCACCACCACCGTAAACCACCACACCACAACCACCACGACCACCATCACCGCCATCACCACCACCCCACCACCCGAACAACCTACCACCACCACCACCACCACCACAAACCACCACACCACCACCACCGCCACCACCGCCACCAGCACCACCTCCACAACCCACCACCACCACCACAGCCACCGCCACAACTAACCACCACACCACAACACCCACCACCACCAGCGCCACCACGACCACCACCACCACAACCCACCACCACCACCACCACAAACCACCACGCACAACACCACCACCACCCACCCACCATCACAACCACCACCAACACAACAAACCACCACACCACCACCACCACGATCACCACCGCCGCCACCACCACCACCAGAACCCACCACCACCACCACTATTTCCACCACAATCACCAAGACAAACCACCACACCGCCACCGCCAAAAACCACCATCACCACAACCCACCACCACACCACAACCACCACCACCACCACCACCACAAATCAGAACACCACCACCGCCACCACCAAAACCACCACAAC